GTGCGAGGGCTCCGGATGTCCAGGATTGCTTTGATCTGATCCGGGTTGGCTTCGATTCTTCGTTGACTAACCAGGTATCCGAGGAATTTACTTGACTCTACTCCGAAAACGCACTTTGCCGCATTCAGCTTCAGTCCATACTCCCTGAGGGTGGAGAAGGTATCCGCTAAATCTGTTAGATGATCACAACTCCGTTTGCTCTTTACCAGCATATCATCTATGTAGACCTTCATGGTGTTGCCGATTTACTTTTTGAACATCCGATTCATCAGTCTTTGGTACGTTGCCCCAGCGTTCTTTAGTCCAAACGGCATCACTTTGTAACAGTACACTCCCTTCGGAGTGATAAACGCCGTCTTTTCTTGATCCGGGGCATAGAGAGGGATCTGATGATATCCTGCTCGGGCATCCAAGAAGTCCATTCGTTCATATCCGGCTGTGGCATCTACCAGCTGGTCCATCTTTATAGAGAAAAAAACTAGGAAAACTAGTCGTTTCCCACAGACGGCGCCAGATTGTGCGTGCAAGATCCTGCACAATATAAAAAACGAGAACAGATCTCTCCCTTGATGAACTCGAGTGAGCCGGTTGAGTGACCAAACACGCTGCTTGAAACAGCCTGCGGGGTCCGGTGGTAACCTGGAATGGCAACGGGAGACCCTGGGAAAGGAAGAACGATCCTGTAAGGCTGCAAGAGGTTCCTGGAACAAAGAAGAACAAGTTAGAAGGGCGCCGGAGTGTTTTCCGGCGTATCCCCTCCGACGATCTAGTCAGTCTTTGAGAGAGAGAGAGAGAGGAAGGAGAAAACACTGAGTGTGTATTGTAGTAAAGAGTTTATTGTTGCATACCCGTCTTACCTTTTGCAAGGAGTATTTATACCTCAAAAGCTCATCATTGCTGTCAGTGTAGTCAGTAGGTGATCATTAGGTACAGGCAGTGTGCGCACTGATTCCGATGAGGAATGTCTTCTCTTCTTAAATGCTCGGGGTCCCGAGCAATCAATGCTTTGTCATCGGGATGCCGACGGTACAATGTGCTCCTCTCGGGGAGGATGCAATAAATGCTCTGTAATAGGAGCATTTATTGTCTTTCATTTTCGAGCCTTCTCGCATTGAATGCGGTCTCATCAAGGGAATGGTGCAATTAATTGTTTGCTTTCCCAAGTCGTGTGTCAGCAACGACATGCGTTTTCTCTGTTTCGATGTGATATCATTTGCCACGCGTCCATCTCTTAATGGCTGTGACCCCTGCATTCCAGTACGTTCTGACACTAATTGTGTAAGACGAGGTCATGACGAATAGCCTAGACTAGCCTAGGCTAAGGACCTGTACGTCAATAGCTTATCCTGGAGTAGAGGAAGCGTCCAGGACGGGGTACCTCTCGGCACCGAGGAAAGGCTCATCTCGGGGACCGAGGGAGGTATGCCGACCGAGGTAATCAGACCGAGGCCACGTGTTGGTTGTAAAACATACTGAATGCATGATCCTATATGACGAGTACCTCGGGGGCGAGGACCTTTGCGCGCCGATGATGCTTGATCTTATCAACAGTGTTTTGGTAATACCGATGACACGTGTCTTCATCATGGAGTATTTCAGAAAAGTCCCATCAGTGGGTGTTGTGAGGGTTTCGAAGAACAGCATAAGGGAGAAAGTCGCCGAAGTTGGAACTGGGTCGTTGGAGAAGAAAGAGGGACGTTGGTGAAAGAAAGCGTGCTACAGTTGTGTTGTGTGCGTTATTTTTGTGCTTGTGTAGAGAGTTGAAGACAGAGAGAGGGAGGAGGGATGAAGATATGGGGGGAAGGAAGAAAGAGTGCAACATTTGAATCTTGAATATTTGGTGCAACAGCCAAAAAGTGTGCTTAATAACCAAGTTTTTTCCTAAACATGTGGTTGGTAAACACGTTGTTCATTGATCCCCATTTTTAACTAAAGCGGAGTTATTGACCCAATTTTTTAACAAAAGTGGAATCGTAACTTTAGTAAGATATGTACCAAGGATTATGCAAATTTGTTCTAAAAATACAGTGAAGTTTCTCAAATATATCTATGTATTACACTTATGAATATTGTATTCAAATACCTTAAAAAAATGAAATAGTCAATTTTAGTTTTTTAATTCTGTAGAAACTAAAATATTAGATTGAATAAAAAAGAATAGATTTACGTGAATTTGAAAGAATAGAGAAAAGATAAATGAGAGAGTAATTCCAGTAGAAATGTACATATTTGTTAAATGGTATGTTTTTAGTGCGTAAGACATCACATATTTATAAACTCAACAGTGTCTTTTCAAAAATAGTGTAATTATTTAAAATTGTGTCTTTTGATTCAAAATGTATCATTTGTGACTTTTCATAAAATTTACAATCATTTGAAATGATAGTTTTTTAGTCCAAAGTTTTTTAGTCCAAGAAGTATCAAAGTGACTTTATGAAAAATTATAATAATTTATAATCGTATTTTTTAACCAAAAGGTATTAGTGGTAGATTTATTATTCTTATCTTCACACTTTATTAATTTCTTTCAAAAGTTACAAAGAGTTTTAAAAAATAAACCCACCCAGAAATACTTTCGTTTTAAAAATATTTTAACATATTTTTCTATTGTCAAAACTATGTTTTAGTAAAATACTCCAACATTTATCAAGCTTGAATTATATCTCGCATGTAGAGAATTTGTAACAATATCCAAGTTGGCAAAGTGAGCCTTTTAAATTTTGACAACTTTTTAGGTTCAAGTGATAAAAAATTTATTCCTTATGAATATTTTAGTTTTGAGGTGGATAATCTATTTTTCGACTAGATTAAAAAGAAGATTAATTGAAGTACGTGCCAATTGACTCGGACCACCTGATGGTTGAACCTAAAAAAAAAAAAAAGTGAGCCTTTGGAAGAGATTTTGGTACTACCTTTACAATTTCAACTTCACCAGAATAAAATATCTTCTGTATCTTGAATTATTTAACTTTGGTTTTTAATGCATCATAATATACCTGTTCACTCATTTTCAAATAAACATTTACTCTTCATAGAGGCACGTGTGGGGCATCCACATGTTGCTCTACACGTGTGAGACTGTATAGGGGCCATCTGATTGGATCTGAACCGTTGGTGGCGAATCAGATGGCTGACTATTTTTTTATAGATCCCAAGATTATCATCCCTACTGTCATGTCAGGTTCCTTATTCTAACAGTTTCTATCATACCTTAATCTTATTTTAATGTCACTAGAAGGCAAATACACAGTAAGATATATGAAATCACCTATTTCTTGTATCTTTCCTATTGCAAAAGTCTACTGTTTCAACACCAATAACTCTCATTCTTATTAATGGCTTTCTGGTTAAAATTAACCATCTGAGCACTAATGCTCTGTTTGGTAGAAAGGATACACTCTTTATCTTTTAAGGATGAAAAATAAGAATGATACACTTTTCTTCCTTTGTGTTTGGTTGGATTGATGAAAAATAAAAATGACTATTTTTTTTTGCTGGCTAAAATTAGGGGTGACAATCGAATCGAGTCGAGTTGTGTCGTGTTAGATTCGTGTTGAATTATTACGAGTTTGTGTCGAATATTAGTTAAACATAACTTAACTCATTTCGTAGCGAGTTGACATGTTTATTTTCGTAGCGAGTTCGAGTCGTGTCATCGTGTTGAGTCGAAAATTTTCACCTTTAGTTAAGATAGAAAAAAAATATATTTTTTAATTTAAATTTAAATTTAAATTTTTTTAAAAATTTTTTTTTAAAATTTTTTAAAATATATATACATATTTTATCATTGTATTGTTATATGATGTATATATAAAATCTATATAATAAAATAAGAGTGTGTTTGAATTTTGTCTCAGTCATATTTTTCCCCTAAAAACTATCATCAATCATTTACCTCACCCATCATTCTTTTGTCATATTCAAACGTTAAATTGCATCACTTATTTCTATCATATGTTTAATCATTTATATATTTCTTTCTTAAAAATATCACATCACTCATTTTTATCATATATTTAATTATTTAATATTTGATTAATTTGTAGTTAATATATTTTAAAAAAAATTAATATAATGAGATCGATTTTTTGAACGCTCGAATTTTATATTTTATCGTGCCTTTAGGCACGGGTTATGACTAGTATATAGACAAATAAGATACATCTCAGCACAAATAATTAACTTTCTATCAACTTTTTTTTCTGATTTTAGAGAGATTGATTTTGGTGAGTTGGAAAAAAAATTAATCTATTCACTTTTCCATCCTTCCTACTTTCCTTCCTTACCAAAAATAATGTTTTATTTATCCTTCTAACTTTCTATTCTTCTAATTTTTTATCATCTCATTTTTTATCGTACTAAACAGAGAATAAAAAAAAAAAAGAAAAAAAAGAAAAAAAAAAGAGGAGATTACAGTACTCAAACAGTACTTTTTTGGTACGGTACATATAGTTAAGACTTACTCAGACGAGATCACAATCAAAACTGATTAAAGTATGAATGGATCGGATGAAGTTTTGACTTAAAAGTCTAGTTACAATTTACCAGAGTCACTTAGAATTAATCCTAACTCTTTGGACAATATTGATTGAATTATAAACTTAGTCTTTTGATCAATTATAACTTTGTACCAATTGAATTGTAACCTATATTTTTTTAAAATTATAACTTGATCCCAAAAAAATAATATCCGACCCCAATTAAAATCACAATTTTCAATATGATACTAAAGTAGTACCATAGCTCTCCTATGAAAACAGATCTTATCATCATCTTAAAAATGTCTGCAATGAATATTATGGCCTAGGTTAGGCTGTCATAATACTATATCAATTGCTGTGTTGCCTATATTTATATCAAGGGACCCTCCAACTTCACATGCAGACTATATAGAGAACTATCCCCACGCCCCCATCATCACTCCCAGTCCTCTCACTCTCAAAACCCTTTTGAGACAACCCTCTCACACCCCAAAAACAATCTCTCTCTCTCTCTCTCTCTCTCTAACACACACACACACACAATGTCAACAACCAAGAAAAAGCTCATTCTTAACACCGTCTCAGTCGACCTGGGCTGCAGGAGCTGTAGAAGGCCAAGACTCTCCACCATCTTCCACCCAAGACCAAAGCACAAAACACCCACTTACCACAAAACCAACCCTTATTACTCTTCTTCAGCCTCATTGGACACCAACACCAGCGCAGCTACCACCTCCTTCTCTCCCAACAACGACACCCCAACACATTACTCCTATCCCGAGTCAGACATAAAGAGCTTGAGAGCCGTTCAAGGCTTCGGAAGGATAGGAGGTGAGAGTGTGGCAGTGGAGAAAGAGACTGATGACCCATATCTTGATTTTCGACACTCGATGCTTCAGATGATACTAGAGAAGGAGATTTATTCAAAGGACGATCTTCGAGAGCTTCTCAACTGTTTTCTTCAGCTGAATTCACCTTCCTACCATGGAATCATTGTTCGAGCTTTCACAGAGATCTGGAATGGTGTGTTCTCGGTGAGGTCTGGTCCTCCAAAACTGTTTGTTGGGCACAAGTCAAGTGACTTCTAGGTGTAGAATCTAAGTTTAGAAATGTAGTAGGAGAAAAGCTCTGCTATATTGAATGTGTTACAAGGCAAGAAACTGTAAGAGAGATCTGAATTTTATGTACATAGTTTTTTTAGCCTGCATCTGCAACTTATTAATGAAATATTAAGAAGTGCAAGTTGTATGAGGGTTTTTTATTTTTTTGGTCAGACACCATTATAAAAAGATGATGATGTTTGAATCCGTAATCTCAAAGTTTAATGGCAAGAACGATAGTTATTAGGCTAACTGCACACCTCATAATTTGTACGAGTTTTGGATGTTGCCAAAAATACTATGAAAATAGTTGATGTAATTTCCTTTCCTTTCTAATTTTGGTCTGTTACCCATATGAGGCTAGATTTGGCCACTGCATCATCTAATTACTGATTGTAATTGAGCTTGTAAAGGTGAACTGGTATGTTACAGTGTTTGTGAATAGAGACCTTAGTTTGTTGGGGGTGAGAATCCTCTGCAGTAACCGGGTAGGTGCAGTTGATCAAAATTATACGTCAGTTTTGTTAAATAGAACGACGTCGGTTTAGTGTAACATGATGCTAGTTTTACAATTAAAAATTAACTGTAGAAGAGTCTGACCCTAATTTATCCTTTAAATATATATGTTCAAGCTCTTCAACTGGAGTTGAGCTCAACTATTGATCCATTTGCTTGTCAATTTTGAGCTTTCGAGCTAAAATCGAGCTCTTATAATTTTTTTTTGTAAACATAACCTTGGAACTTAACACTCAAATTCTTGATAGAAGTCTCTCTCTCAAATATGTACAATCCGCCATAAAATCAAACTTTAGAAGTTTAAATATTTCAAAATGCATTAGACAAGAGAATGAGAGAGAAGAACACATGATCTGAAATTATTTGGGGATTAATTTGGATTGTTTGTTTTTTGAATAAGGATTATTTACTTATAAAATTAAAATTATTTGTAAAGAGAAATCTATTCGAAGTGAGCTTCGACAAGTTTACGAAACAAGATTAAAAATCGTGTCAGAATTAATTTATTTTGTTATATGATTGAGCTTGAACCAGTTAAGACTGACTAAATTCAAATGAATTCGAGTCACAAGAATTGTTTTAACAGCTATATTTGTGAGATGGTCAAATTGGTCACTGGGATTGATGATAAGTTGTGGTTTGAAGATTTAGTTCTGGTACTGTGGTGGTAAAAGATAGGCCTTGGGATTTGAACATCAAGGAGGAATAGATTAATGTTTTAATGCACTTGAATGCGATTACTAAAAAATTATGTATTTGTGACTTGTCATGTACAGTTTCCAACATGCCATGAATACACTAAGGTTGGAATTGGCAATTACCCTACCACTGGAACTAGGTGGGGATGGTAAGAGTGGAAGGGACTATTATCTGGAGGAGGTTTTTAGTTTAAATCTCATCCTCTAATTCTATGCATGTTTTTCAAATATTGTGTAAAAACTTACTCAATTTATGCAGGCCTGTTCATTTTTAAGCATGTATAGTCGAGTTTGTATCATGTATAAGATGTATTCAATAAATTTGTATTGTATTTAGTTGTATTGATATTTTGAATTAGTCTTCCTTAAAGAGTTTATGTCGTATTTAATCGAATTTTTATGGATTTATTATTTGATTGATTTAACAAGTCAACTTGTTCTGCATCTAAACCCATTAAAACTAAATGGTGCAAAACTTTAACCAAACCTCACTTGGCTAACAAAATGAAATTGCTGTTTTGGAATTTAACTCCAAATCAAAACGACACATGGATGAGTGTAGGTATTAATTATTATCTCTTATGGGTCCTTTGTGGGCATACACAAGAAAGGCAATCCGGTACTCCAGAGTTCAGCTCCAGCATGAAGAAAAACACCCCCCCCCTCTCTCTCTCTCAATTATCTCATTTAAGTACAATAGTCAAATCAATGGAAAGTTTAAATGTGGTCCACTATCAAGTCTTAGTCAAATCTAAGGGCCCTGAAGAGAATCTCCATGCTAGTGGAAGCTCAGTGAATTAGAAGTGGGCCTTCATTGGAATCAAAGATCAAGCAGATATGAATTCTATAGATCTCCTTGTGATGTGTTATGTAACCAATGCAAAGCAAGAAAATGGAATGACTCCAAGTCTTTAATTTCAGTGAGACAGTCCAACTCACTCTCTTTAATTCTTACTACAAATTACGAGAAGAAGACTAAGTTTTCACCTGCTACGAAATGGTGTTCCTTCTGTCATAGAAAATTTTTAGGATAAATTATATTAACAACCCTCCTAGTTTCTGATATTTTCACTGCACCCCTTCTTGTTTGTGAAATATCATTAACAACCCTTGTGATAGGACAATTTGTAATAAATTTCCCCATCAGTTAATAGACGTTTAAGGGACAAATAGCTTTTGCTGATATATATGGACAAAATTTAATCAATGAACTGTCCGTTTTGCCCCTTGAAATAACCCATTTTTGTCTTATGATATCCATGGAAAAAAAAATCCAGAAGGCAACCTATTTAAGTCTCTTTTTTCTATCCTAAAGCTATTGTGGCAATGCCTCCCTACTAGCTCAATTGCCACTATGAAAGCCGTTGCCACCGTTGCTGCTCATCACCTCCACTCCCACAAATTCATAACTCAAAACATAAAAATTATTCAAATCGTTCAAATAAGACGACTTATATTACGACTTAAATTTTAATTGTTGAACCATAATAACTCAACTAATTTACATTTAATCTTTTAATCACGATAAAAAAATGTACTTTACATGGGGACACCATAATAAATAAATAAAATATTATATATATATATATATATATATATATATATAGAGAGAGAGAGAGAGAGAGAGAGAGAGAGAGAGAGAGAGAAGGGGGCGCCGGGTGGGGAGGGCAATGGGGATGACATGTCGATGAAGTAAAGATATGATGATCGAGATCTGTTTGACTCAGAAGAGATAAAAGGGGATTTATAGAAATGATAAACTTGTTTGGTACTAGATCTAAGGTTGTTCGATAGTTGGATTATGGTGGTTGGAAATAGGGTTAGAAACATAACAAATAGGTGAGGGTAAAATTGATAATATCAACTTTCTGTCAACCAATGTGCGCCGACAATATTGATAAGGGTGTCATTGCAATTTTGAAAACAACAGGAGGTGCATTGAAATGTCAAAAACAGCAGGGGGTGTCATTATAATTTACCCAAAATGTTTATTGCTTTGCAGTTTGCATAGTTGTCTTTGCCCAGTTCTTGTTGCAATCCAGCCAAATGATTATAGTTGCATGTGAGGGTGTGAGTGTACATATATGTATCATTTTCTCTCTTACTTCCATATACCTCTTAAAACATATATAGAAGGTGAAGACTTCAAATAAGTAGACACAAAAACCATCTTTATCTAATTCTTCTTACAATTCTCTACTAGTGGGGGACATCTTTTGTTGTCAGCAAAGTAATTATATGCCGTCTCCTTGCCCCATTTGGACGAATGATCTAGAAAATAAATATTTAGAGAGAGAGAGGAAGAGAGAGAGAGGGAGAGAGGAAGAGAGAGAGAGAGAGGGAGAGTTAAAATGCTAAGAATAGACATGATAAAGGAACCCCCCCCCCCCTCCAAAAGACACACACACACACACAAAATAAAGAACATAATAAGCATCAAACCAAATTTGTGGTCCAGTGTTGTCTATAAAAGAAAGTAAAGTTTTTTATCATCACAAAAACCAACAGCTTGTTCATGATCATCCCAACCTGGTGGTCATTCTTACTGGCGGAAAAAAGGTGAAACACTAGAAAAAATAAGTCATCGTTTGTTCATGTAATCTTAAAACAACATGACCCACTGCATTAAGTAGTTAATGACAAGGTTCATTGAACCTCTAAAGTGAGCAAACCATGGGAAGTTTGTGAAATGTTCATGGTGTTTTCGTGTTTGGTTAAGTCATAGACATATTAAGATAAGTTTGTAGTCAGAAAAACACAATCAAAGAAACTATAATCTAATAGTTAAACATTCTAGGGAGTAGGATGACCTCGGACAGTACACTGAGGGAATTACCTAACACACATTGCCCGGAAATAGTCTTTCTAATGGATACCAAAAAGAAAAAGAGTTTCAATATTCGATATTTTTACTCCTTTCAAATTCACCACATTAGATTGGTTCTACTATTTAGCCGGGTGATTTTTTTTTTTTTTTTTTTTCCGGTAAGTAACCGGGTGAAATTTATTTATGAGAAGAGTACCCTTTACAAGGAGCACCAAGTAAAATTCCAAAGGGTTGTCCACTTAACTTTAAGCTTTACAGTTTCTTAGCTACATATAATTTTCACACAACAAGATAATGTTAGATGAAGAGGGAACAAAGAGTTGTCACAAGATAACTCCGTGGAGATGATAGTTCTTATCATCCCATTTTAGCATATAAGCATGGATCATCTTGTTTGATAAAGATCAGACAGGAGAAAAATCAAAATAAAGTACCAAGAGTTTCAGACATCAAAATAAAGTACTTTTGCAGGCCTATGTATGGGAAGGTATGGGACCTTAGGCACTGTTTTTGCCCAATGAAATGTGATATTCTGATATGGAGTATCAAGATAGGAGGCTTTCAAAGTAGTTGTGGGCCTTCTTGTCTCATTCTCAACCCACGTCAAAGAGGAAGCCAGGTCATAAATGAAAGCATCCATGTCTTTGTTGATCTTTACTCCACTATGAGGACAGTGATCCCCCACTGGTTCAATCTTGCTCCTCAAAGGTGCATTGAGAGCTTATGTTACTAGAGTTTTCTTCTGTGACATTTTGGAGTCTCAAGCTACTTTGCATTTTGAATGGGCCTCCAAGTGGAGTAAATATTGTGCGTAAAAGAGACACTACATCATCGTTGCCACGTGGTGTTACCAACCAATTATAAAACACACATAGAATTAGTGAATCTCTCTATTCTAATATGACAGTTATTATATAAGGTGGTTATTGGTAGTTACTAAAACAACA